CGATGGGTGATGGGTACCAAGATTGCCTTTCAGTCAATGTGTTCCACCTCTTTTGTTCTAAAAAAAAAACTGCCTACCTGCATGAACCCAAAGCCCGTTCAATCACGATTGGTCAACAATACTCGGACTACACTGAACTGAATTGAGAATGAAAGCAAAATCTTGTCTTGTAGCCTTTTTACTGCACTCATATGCAGATGTATTCATAGCGATTCATATTTCTTTTAGCACTGTCAGCTCTACATTTGTAAGTCAAATTGTATAAAGTTAAAGTAAAGTAGTGATAAAGCCAGTGGGTGTATCTACTCTACACTGGTAGCAATGTGGCGATGCCCCAAACCAAAACAATATGAACATCTTTCTACACAGCAGTAATCCTTTTATAGCAAAACCAGGACACAATAAGTTGGTCAGGAAATGTAGTGGGTCAACCCCTTAAGACAGAAAAAAGAGGGAGTGAGTCAGACAGACAGTTAATAAGTGGCCGTGTCAAGGCCAAGCAGTCATGGGCTGATATTAAAGAGGTTGTGGCTTCCCTGAGGGAGTGTGTTCTAGGCCAACGATGGCCTGCCTGCCTGGGGGCCTGTCATCATATGCTGTGTCCATTCAGCAAACCACAGCACACTTCCTCTGACATACACCATTACTAACACTTACACATACACACAAACGCTCTTGAAGTGTGACATCTGTCTGGGTGAAAGGGGTGGAAAGACTTCCAAGGTTAAGTGTATATACTGAAAAAGAGAAGTGCAAAAGTGGTTTGAACTATACGGACACAAATAGGTGATTTCACTAATTAAAATGACACGTGACAATACTGAATCTAGCATAAACTGTTTATGGCAGCTGTATTCAAAGGGTTCTTTCCTTGGAAAATCCACTGGGAAACGGGAAGTGATTTTTGTTTTAGATGTTTATTTAGCTAAATTAGAAGTAGAGGTTTTTGGATAGTCAATGAAAGCCATCATACATGGAAAATGATGTCACGGTTATAGCAGGGACATTTCACTCTACCATGTTTGGCTGGTTCCAACACTTCCTCTGTTAGTTTGTAATACATATATTCTCAGTTAATTTCTCGATAGCTAAAGATCCAGTGGTACAGTGACTAAAATCATCAAATTAAAATATATAGCCATACACATCCTTCATTACAAAATTATAATTAAAATGTGGCCTGAAAACTGCATAATAATGCAATTTATGTTTCCAACAGACAACACCAACGCATGCGACAAAATAAGACCAAATAACGCATTGCAGGCAACCAGAGAGGGACTGTTAATTTGATTAAATTACAGATTACTCTAGGTTGAACGCTCAAAGAAATGTAAGGAACACTCTGAAAACACATCAGATCTCAATGGGGAAGAAAATCATGCTGGATATCTAAACTGATATAGACTGGGTAATGTGTTAGGAACGAAAGGATGCCACATCGTTTGATGGAAATTAAAATGTTTAACCTACACTGGGCTGAATTGAAAGACACCCCGAAAATCTAAGTGAAAACATTATTTGGTAGGCTAGTCCATTTTGCGGAAATTCCATTGCAGCAACTAAAAGTGGTACTCAGTAATGTGTTTTATCCTAATGTGCTTTTTTGCATTCTTAACAACGTCAGGGAATGCTTCTTATGAGGCGATGGATGGTGTCCTGGGGTATGTCCTCCAAGATCTGGAACAGGGCATCACTGAGCTCCTGGACAGTCTGAGGAGCAACCTGGCAGAGTCGCATGGACCGAAACATAATGTCCCAGAGGTATTCTATTGGACTTAGGTCAGGCGAGCGTGGGGGCCAGTCAACGGTATCAATTATTTCATCCTCCAGAAACTGCCTATATACTCTCGCCACATGAGGCAGGGCATTGTCGTGCGCCAGGAGAAACCCAGGACCCACTGCACCAGCGCAGGGCCGACAATGGGTCCAAGGATTTCGTCCTGATACCTAGTGGCAGTCAGGGTGCCGTTGTCTAGCCTGTAGAAGTCTGTGCGTCCCTCCATGGATATGCCTCCCCAGACCATCACTGACCCACTACGAAACCGGTCATGCTGAATAGACAATGACCAGGCAGCAAAACATTCTCCACAGCTTCTTCAGACACTTTCATGTCAGTCACATGCTCAGGGGTGAACCTGCACTCATCTGTGAAAAGCACAGGGCACCAGTGGTGGACCTGCTAATTTTGGTGTTCTATAGCAAATGCCAACTGAGCTCCACGGTGCAGGGCAGTGAGCACAGGGCCCACTAGAGGACGTCGGGCCCTCAGGCCACCCTCATGAAGTCTGTTTCCAATGTTTTGTCAGAGACAGTCACAGCAGTGGCCTGCTGGAGGTCATTTTGCAGAGCTCTGACAATGCTCATCCTGTTCCTCCTTGTACAAAGGAGCAGATACCGCTCTTTCTGATGGTTTAAGGACCATCTACGGCCCTGTCCAGCTCTCCTAGATCAACTGCCTGTCTCCTGGAATCTCCTCCATGCTCTTGAGACTGTTCTGGGAGACGCAGCAAACACTCTGGCAATAGCACGTATTGATGTGCCATCCTGGAGGAGATGGACTGCCTGTGCTTCCTCTGTAGGGTCCAGGTATTGATTGATTGATTGAAAAGTTTATTAACAGCTTGTATATTGGGTACAGTACAGTACAGCTCAAAACATACAATTGTTAAGGGGATGCAGACCAGAGAAAGACTTTCGTCTTGTTTACATCAGGGTCCCCCATTTCCAATTCATCATAAATGTACAAGTAGTGACACTGACCCTACCCAAATGCAAAACTAGTAAAAAACAATCAGAAAAGATGATGAGGGAAACATTTCAGTGGCCTCCGCCTGGAAAACAATTCCTGTTTTGGGGGATGTGTCATTGTTGCCACCTCAGCTCACAAATCAGCTGAAACTAATTAACAACCCCCTCTGCTACTTAAATGACCACATCCATATCCCAGAAGTTTAATTGACTTGATGCTATACTCTGATTAAAAAGTGTTCCTTTTTTAGCAGTGTATATAACATAGGTCTAGTCTTTTTTGGACATTTAAATGTGTTTAAAAAAGCCACTGTGCAAGCTAGGTAGTTAACGATAGCAAGTTAGCTGACAACAAACATCTTTTAAAAACCAAATTACAGTGTACAAAGTAAACACTATCCAGCAGTGTAACCGTTACAATATGAGTATTATCTGCTGACTTCACTGACTCAGTGTCCATTCAATCTGAAGTATAAACAGAGCCAGGAATCCCTTTTTACTGTGGTGATTCACTACACTAGGGTCAACTCTGACACTGACACCACAGACCTCTAGCCCATAGCAGCTGTGTTAGCATGGGTAACATTAGGGAAAATGGGATTTTAGCATTCTTTTCTGTCTAATTGAGAACTAACACCAAACTAATACAAAGTGAACATACTACCATGCATCACGTAATAATGATCAGTCCAGCAGCGGTATTCCAGTATTTAGTATAAATTGCTGCTTTCCTGGCCGGTGATACAGTATACAGCAGTGTTGTGTTTACAGTGAGAGCCTGTAGCAACAGTACGGATTCAAACTCACAGATCTGGCCAAGTTAAAGACAGTCGCTCCATTCAGAAACAGCAGAGGACACAGGGTGAACCGTATGACACCTCCCCTCCACAACCACACTCAGTCATGACTCCATGACTCCTGACTCTAGTTTCCTCAATAGTTTACGTATGACAGCTTCTCAAGATTATAGGCGAAACATACGTTTCTTACTTATGGTTAATTTGACTCAACTGAAATTGTGAAAGACTGAAGAATTTTTTTTTTTTTTCTTCATTGTATTTACCACAGTATTTACCATAAAGTTTAAAATTACACCCAGAAGAGACGAAGAAAACCTCCAGAATTAATGTATTTGATGCACACTTACTCTCAGTGGTATAAGTACTCAGACATTTTACTCAAGCAATAGTAGAAACAGTCTACAAATACTCTGTTACAAGTGAAAATCGTGCATTTAAACTCTCACGTAGGTAAATGTACAAAGGTATTGGCATCAAAAAATACTTAGAGTACCAAAAGTAAAAGTACTTATAGTGTGTAATGTCCCGTCGTAGAATCATGTATTACATTAGTGGAGGATTTATTTGTATGCATTAATGTGTTCATTACAGCTGTTAAAGATGGAGCTACTTTAATTCAGAAATCCTTTATTGGTCCCACAATGGGGAAATGTACATCATTACAACAGCAGACATTGCAGATAAAGTAAGGAAACTTTTTTTAAATGGCTTAGTAGGCTATGCACAGTAAGTTAAAAAACTCAAACTAAAACTAGCAGATATGTACACCATGGTAATTACTTTAAATACTGCTGCTGGATATCTTAACCCCTAATTATATATCACAGTTTATTTATTAGTTCATTTATATTTTGTTTTAGCTAATAATCTGAATGTGTAAAGTAACTAGTAACTAATTTTGTCAAATAAATGTAGTGGAGTAGTATATAAAGTACAATATTGGCACCGAAATTGATGTGGGGTAGAAGTATAAAGTAAAGTAGTATAAAATAAAAAATACTCAAGTGAAGTAAAAGTACCCCAAAATCGTACTTGAGTACAATACTTGAGTAAATGTACTTTACTATGACACCACTGCTTATTATGTTAACTTTGGTAATTCTGTCTCGCGCCACTCAGGTCTTTCTTTGCTTTTCTTATTGAGTTATATGCGACATTGTTCTTCATTTGTACCTAAACATTTCTGCTATATGATATTTTATTCGACTGTATTCCACTATTAAGTTGTATAGGCTGTATACAGGGAAAAACAGCTAGCTGCTCACAGTGAAAAGCGACGCAGGGAAACGGCAAGAGAGTGGAGTGATGCTGCGTGTGACCCGTCCGCTAACTCCCACAACAAAACCGTCACACACCGGCCGTGTCCCCGCCTGGTCCCCGGTCGACCTCTGAGAGGCATGTAATCCCCCAGCCAACACACACATACGGGGTTAAGGTCAGGCTACTTACGCTCTCGGTCTGGGGAAGCCCATAGATAACAGCACGTCCAGGTTGGAGCCACATTTCACTGAACCCGGTCGGTTCTGCCGGAGCCTCCGAGGGAGGATTTTACTGTAGAGGTCCTCTTTGGCAGCCATGGTCCACTGGGTCCCCTACTCCGCTACAAACCCGATACAGTCCACCACCACACCTCCAGCTAGTCCATGAGCGTCGGCCGGGTCCGCATGAGTAAGAGGGGAAGGCAACAACACGGAGCGGAGCTGAGAGCAGCGCTGTGCGGCCAGGCAGAGCCCTGCTACTCCGCCCACTGGAGGAAACTGCAAATTAGATCTGCTCACTGAATACACACAGTACAGGGAAATAGTACACAATATATGAGAGGGTTAAAGGAAAAAATGATCATATAATGTTATTGGCAGTGGTGTAAAGTAACTAAGTATACTAAAGTACTGTAGCCTACTTAAGTACAATTCTGAGGGTACTAGTACTTTACTTGAGTATTTCCATTTTATGTTACCTTGTAATACAACTCCACTACAATTCAGAGGTAAATATTGTACTTTACTCCACTACATTTATTTAGCAGATATGGATTAATGATCAATTAAATATGATCAATTATTAATTAAATAAGACTAAAGTTACACCTGGATTCAATTCACATGCTACTCAGCAGTAAATCAAATAATACATTTAAAAAAAAAAAAAAAACATTTGTTCCACCTTTACAGGGCTTGATAAACACATTGATATATCAATGATTATAATGAAAATATATAATATATATTGTTCTGAAATGGGCAAAGCGAGTACTTTTACTGTTGGTAATTTAAGTATATATTTTGTGCTTTTACTAAGGTAACATATTGAATGCAGAACTTTTACTTCTAACAGTGTATTCCTTCACTCTGGTAGTTGTTCTACTTAAGTGCAAGATCTGAGGACTTGACCCACTTCTGCTTATTGGTTATTTAAACTAGTTTGAACTACTGTATAGACTATATTTATGTACAGGTTGAATAATGTTGCTTTGAGAATTGGAATTGGTACATGACTATTACAGGTGAACAATAAAACTGAGAAAAACACTGACAACGATACAGTTGCTTTTAATTTGTGTAAAAAAATTACATTAATTATACAAAGATAATATCTATAAAATATCACATGTAGAAAAATAATTACATAATTTTCACATTACTGCGATTGATATATTTGACTCAAGGTCATTCTCGTGCAGAACCTTACATTTCCATGTGATCATCATTGTCATATAATCTGAAATAAAAATGTAAAATATGCAGACTCTCTTTTGTCCAGAGATCAAGTGACGCAAATCCTGATGGATGATAAAGCACCATTTGATCAATCTGATTAATAATTACACACAGTATCCCCAAAGATTTAATCACCTAATGGCAACCCTGATTTTCCTTTTTTAACAATGGCTTTCTTATATTTTCATGTATCAGAATACCTTTATTCATCCCACAGAGGGGACATTTACACATTTGATCATAAAACAATCATGATCTCCGCTGTCTGTTTTAGTAATAAGGGCTATGAAATGATATTGGGCCTCACTGAGGGTTGCACTCTGCCATATCCAGCCGATGGCCATGAGCTGGCCTCGGGTAGCCCTGACTGAGTCGTGGGGAGATGTGAGGCTAGTGTTGGCCGCCCACAGTGCTGGCAGATGGGTTGTATGGAGCGATGACACAGAAGACACAGCCTGCCTCCTGGAAAGCTTGCCTCATTTCCACCTAGTGGGCAAAACACAGACTGCATTAAACAGCATTGATTCACAAATAAAGTACACACTCAGAATTTGCAAACTATAACAGGTTAATTACTGTTAAATCTTAAGACCTCAAGTCCAAGATCCTGTCAAATGACACTATATGGAATTATAAAAAGGCCTGAGCTTTGACATACTGTGACGTTAGGAATAGTTTGGATCTACTAACAAAACCTTGCAGAACTTGGGATTTGCTGCTCCACTGCTGCCTCGATTGGTTCATTTTTTTAATTTGTTTTATTTATGACTCTGATGTATCTGAAATAACCCTTTAAATAACACAAACTACTAACCATCCTGCAACCTTCATGTTCCGCAAGCAAGAAATACCGTTTTTGTCAAAGATGGCTTCGAAAAGAGCATCAAAAAAGGGCTTTTTGACGGCAAGGTAAAGGGAGAATTTATTCTAAACATTTTCGATATTACGGACTAACTTTGGCCCCAGCCATTAGACACTGCACGCTGACATAATATTTGTGGTTACTTTGAATGTTGAATTTAAAATTCTGCGAAAATGTAAAAGGTATAAATGCAGAAAAAAGAAAATAAGGAAATGTTACTTTAGATTTGAAGTCATCTAAATACTAGTGTTATTGCAAGACATATAACTTCCTTTACGTGGAAATATGCTCACTATTTTAAAGTTGTTTGGTTTTCTGAGCATTTTTTTGTCAAAATAACTTATTATTGTTGGGATGGAGCCAAAATCAGGTAGAGTATTGTTGAAAGAAATACTACATTCATTAATTAAGGGTTAACAAAGCCAACATTGGACATCCCTACATGGAAACACAAATTAAAAAGTCTTTCCTTTAGCAGAGAATTTTAATGAGGATTTCTTTTGATTTCATCAGAAACTAGAATCATGGTTTCAGACGTTTAGAATGTGCTCTGTGACTACACATCACCCTCTGATCCATAGAACATGTCTGCTTAGCTCTCCTGTTTACTAAGGTAAGGGTTAACTCATCTATTTTTATTTATTTTGTATTCATTAGTTTATTCCACTCATTGCAATTATAAAACAAAACATGTACACTTTATGCAATGTTTATAGCCCATGATGGAAAGGAACAGGGAGAAGAAAATCTTATTTTACCGGCCCCTTACTCATAAAAAAAAAGTCACAGCTGCTTAAAAATAGAGAAACATGAAACCAAAATCAAAAGTCAACATAACAATCTTCTGTACCTTCAGCAACACGGGTTACCTGACATCTTTATTCTGTCTAATTTGTATTTCTTTATACATTTTATAAAACCTAAAGATGTTCTTACAGCCCTTTAAATCATTTGGTAATGAATTCCACAGTTTAACGCCAACTACAGAGATACACAGCTGCTTTAAGGTAGTCTGTGCAAAAAGTTACATTTCCATCCAAGTTGCTCATCCTCTGAAGTTAAAACAAATTTGTTTTGGATATTTTCTGGCAGTATGGTATTTTTTGCTTTATGCATAACTAAAGAAGTCTGTAATTCAATTAAATCTTTACATTTTAACAGCCTCGACACAATAAACAGTTAATTTGTGTGTTCTCGGGGATGTGCATTATGCAAAATGCTCACTGCTTTGTTCTGTAGTGTCAATAAAGGTTTTAAATTACTCATATCTAATGGAGTACAAAGGGAACCAAGACGAAGAAAATAAATATGAGGCTCCAATCTCACATAATGTAGTCTTACCAGTTTCTCTTCATCCAGACACAGACCCACCACGGCTCCCCCACTGCCGGGTAACTTCACCGCCGATCCAAACTGCAACGAGCATTAAAACTTCATGAATGCATAAATAGAAAAACACTCCACACAGATGGAGATGGATAAAAGTGTGAATTAATAAATAATGCTTGCTCTTAGCAGGTGGAAGAACATTTCAGTACCGACCTGCCTCGCCAGCTGAACCATCTTCAGGTTCCCCGGACCCAGACAGTCATCAGTGTACACAGACCTGTGGGATATGTTGTTACTGTAGCTAAGAGTGTACCTGTAGAACCTTCTGCCTAATGCCTAACATCAAAATATACTATTTACCTCCGCAGCTCAAAGTTCTGGTCCATCAGTTGAGCCAGGCGCCTCCAGTCTCTGTCCTGTAGAGCCATCCTGAGGAGAGAACAATATTGAATCAGCTTCACATCTAATGGTCCCATCTCTGAAATGTCACAACATAGCCAAAAACACTTCCACAGTATTTCACACAACAAGTCAAGGAATCCATCGGTTCTCTGTCCGTCCGTCCCTTCGTCCGTCCATCTTCAACCGCTTATCCAGAGTCTGGTTATGGAGGAAGCAGTTCCAGAGTCCCTTTCCCCGGCCACATCAACCAGCTCTGACTGGGGGATTCCAAGGCACTCCTAGGCCAGCGTGGAGACATAGTCCCTCCACCTGGTCCTAGGTCTACCCCTCGGTCTCCTCCCAGCTGGACGTGCTCGAAACGTCGGCCTGGTGGCATCCTTACTAGGCTCTACTCCGTGTTCCTCCCAGATGATTTAAATTCTCACTTATCCCTAAGGGAGATGTCAGCCACCCCGGGAGGAAACCGTTTTCGGCTGCTAGTATCCGCGATCTCGTTCTTTAACCATAGGTGAGAGTAGGAACAAAGAGCGGTAGATTGAGAGCTCTGCCTTCTGGCTCAGAACTATGCGGTAAAGCGACTGCAATACTGCTTCCGATTCTCCGGCCCATCTCACCTACCATCGTCCCCAACAGATACTTGAACTCCTTCATGTGGAGTAAGGGCTTGTTCCCTACTTAGATTAAGGGTTCAGGAATCCCAAAGCCATTTCACGACAGTTGAAAAAAGGCCAGACATAATTGTGGTCAGGCTTTTGCCGTGAGATGTTTTAACCAAACCTCCAGTGCTTTTTATTGCATACATTCTTGATCAACAATCCACTTCAAAGTGCTCAAACCAACCTTGCTTGATCGGTGAGCTCAGCAAAACTCTTCATGGCCTCGACAACCAGAGGCTCCCCTGTGGAAAGACAAAGCAGCATGAAAGTAGTCCAACTAACTATTTCCTTTTAATAAATCCAACATGAACAGAAATATGGAAATATGCACATGAGCTTGCATATTATTTTTTAAGAGGAACTGAGGATTTTTGTTCGTTTATAGAAAAACTGAAATGTCTGGCATTACCTACGTAGGAAAAGTTAATCCTAAGGGGAAACACAATTATACAAGACAGTATCTTCTAAAGGGGTGTGAAAGAGAAACTCCCTCTGGAGGGAACTTTGGTATTTTAGCCTTTGCAAACCATTTACATGCACTGAAACCTATATAAAACACTACAGGAAAGCATGATAGGGCCTCTTTAATTAGCAGTGAAGATTTGCTGAGTCATTTTCCATAAGAAGACTCACCACTGAGCCAGCGCTGTCTGATGTTGCTGTGGATGCGTCCAGAGTCGCTGGGGTCGCTCAGGTAAGCCAGCCAAAAGTGTGGGAGCCCACTCATGTCCATAGAAACATAGTTCCCTGACAACAGGAAACACACATTAGGAAAGACATTTCTTTGTATCATTCACTTATCATCCACGGACAGATGTTGACTTCAATACCGTAGCCCTGCTCTGCCATGAGATTCTTGCTGAAATCCATGTAGACTAAGCCTTCATACACCTGTAAAGACAAAGGAGTATTGAATTTAAGTTAAGTGACATGGTTCGATGTTGTGACGGTACATTTGTGGAGAGTTTATTTATTTACTGACCTGAACAACTCTGTCCTGCAGGCCCGCAGTGATGAAGAGCTCATCAGTCTCCACGTTGAGGATGAAGTTGGCTCGGATCGGCTTTGGGAGATCCTGGAGAGTCAAATAGGAGATACATAAACAAGTTAAAGACACAATAGATACCTTGTATGTCATTTTCACTTATATGTAATAAAAAAATAAGTGTTTTTTTTGTGTTTTTTTTACCATGTAAGACTAAGCCATATTAATGAGGGGTCATGTTTGGGTCTAATCTGTCACAATTGTGTGTTATTATGTTTGTGCGTAATGTGTCACTGTCCTATTGCCAAGGGCAGAGATACAGTATTTAGAGGTGCTGTGTCATATGATTGGGTGTGTTTGACCGTTTTTTTACCGCTGTAGCAGCAACGTGTGGTGATGTTACGTTCGCGAACATCTTTTGAGCGGCTCTTTGGTACAAACGAAGGGAACCGAGTCGTACTTGGTGAAAGCCATTCTTCAGTGGTACAGGTAGACGACGTGTGTTTCGGGTGAAAAAATGAGTCAATCGCGAAAATGCAGCAATGATAAAGCGGAGTGCAACATTTGTTAAGCCAAAATATCATTTAAAGCAGGGTCAACAAATAATCTCCACCGCCACTTTTAAAAAAAACGGCTCTTTTGAACGGCTCTCGGAAAGGAACGGAGTCATAAGATCCGGCTCCCTTCAAAGAGCCGTAATTCCCATCACTAGCAACGTGTGTGGAAACTGCTAGCATTGTATGGACTTTACTTTTATAATGCACATGCTCCGAAAATAAATGGATTGTATTAAGCTTCAACAAAAGAGCATGCAGATTCTTGATTGAGGCCACACAGCAAACGGTATCTTATTGAGCTTTAGTATTTGACTAAGCTCCTTTGGAGTCTTTCATTTCATTTGTTTAAAAAAGACTTTGATGATTACAAAGAAACACATTGCAGCTGATGGTTTTTTCATTATGACAAACAGCGGAAGATATGACAGCATATCAGGGCCATTTCAGGTATCAACAATATGAAGGGAAAGAGGGGTAATATTCAGTAAAAAAAGTAAAACAAAAATCAACTTAATCTTAACAAAAAATCTTGGCTGCCAGCTCTAACCACTGAGCTATCAGGTGACCCGTATGTGGTATCCGCTGCAGAGTGCGCGAGTTCGAGTCCGGCACACAGAACTTAAAGGCATTGTCGACCCCTCTGTCTCCACCCTTTCAACACTGTATCTCTCAATAAAGGCACTCTTTAGGCCAAACATATCTTTAAAAACAAATAAATAACTTGGATAATCTCTAAAATAAAATTGGTAAATCTACTTTAAAAAGAATAACTCCACACCTCACTAATGTTATTTAAACTTCTGTGATGAGTTTTTCGTGTCTTACATCAGTGACTATCTCTGATATTATTTTCTCAAATTATGAACCCCCTTCCTCGGCTATGTATATTTGTTGTTCTTTGTTTCATCATATGTTTTTTTAAATCCTTTTAGGACAAAATGTCCTCTCCATTAAAGGCAGCTCATTGTGGAATAGCCTCCCAACTGAGATACGGGATTGTCCCACTCTCAATAGTTTTAAAGGTCACCTCAAAGAATGGTTGAGAAACAAACAGATGTGTAATCACTGCTGAATGCACTTTAACACAGGGGTATCTCCTCTTGCACTTTATGTAGCTCTTGTATCTTCTCTTGCACTTTATATGTCGTTGCTGCTATGTGGTAAATACTTGTGTGTGCTGCTCTTGCTCTTTTGCATATCATGTATTTGTCTTTGCTATGTGTATAATTGTCATGTTCTTAAATGTTTTATGTGAGGGACTGCGGATGGAAATTAGCTCCAAGCTAAAATCCGGCATATTTACACTATTTGCATTTTTTTGCAAGTGTTCATTAATGTGCATTGCCCCTGCTAAATAAACTATTAAACATTTTTTTTTTTTTAAATCTGCTGTAGTGGTAAGGTGTAACTGAAAAGTCCAGATAGCTTTGATGTTTTGGTAACTCCATCAGATGGGACAAATCCTTACATTGTCGGTGATATTGTAGAACTTCATGAGACACTTCAGAGTAGCTGAGACGATGGCACTGTGAAATAAGAGGGCCGTCAATTATTTAAATAAAAAGCATAGAAAATTACCTAAAATGACCTTATCCAAATCATCAGACAGAATGTTTTACCTGCTTCCAGCGAGGCCCTGCAGTAAATCAGAGACAGATAATTTCATCATTACGGAAGGTTTTCACATGAGACCAATACACTGACTGTTATCCAGTATTTAAATGGATGCTCACCACTTGCCGAGGAATGTTGGTGTCATACTTCAGTGTGAAGTTCTGCTTTGTCAAAGCAATACTGTGGAAAAAACACACAGCAGACATTGAAGGAGCATTATAAGCTAGTGTGACTCTCATTAACAAATAAGGTAAGCTAAGTTAAATAAATAAAATAAAAATTAATTTAGGATTAATTATTTTAAAACATAATAAAAAGACAAAAACGTTTTTTATTATTATTGTATTTTCATTATATGTATGTATTGAGTATTGCACACAGAACACACAGATATGATACAAATATCTTTGATTCAGGATGAATACAAAAAAAAATGTCACGTCCCTTGAAATGATAGAACTATTCAGTTGGCTTGATTTAGGGGAGAGCCCCACAGTGTCAGATTGTTTTAATAAATACATCATGTATTTAAAGCAGTGCTTTTAATTGTAACTAAGTATTTTTACAATATTCTATTATCACTCAACGAAATTATCTGAAAACTTAATTTATTTATTCACTATTTTAAATTGCAAAAGTAACCCATAGTGTTGGAGAAAGTTAAAGCAGTATCCGTGGTGATATATAATGTATATGATATACAAAGTTGGAGGTAAAAAGAATGCTAAAGCTAATATTTAAATTGAATATTTTATCCAATAATAATCTGACCTTACCCTTGTTTGGAGCAGAACTGGTAGAACTTCTTGCAGGTAGCCTGCAGCAGCCGCAGACCTCCCAGGTACCTACAGGTGGGGGGGGGGGGAACAGAACATGTAGAAAAAGCCTGAACATGACTCGTGTATTGTTGCTCATTTAACGTGTGATGTACTCACCCTTCCTTCCTGCTGATGCAGAACAAATCTTGCAAGCTTCCAAACTCTGTGGGGTCGTTGAGGGGATGAGGGACTAACACCTACAGAGTCACAGAAATTCACAAATGTTTTCCACAATATGTCCCAGATGAAGTTCTATTTTTTTACTTCTGAATTTGTAAGTGTTACCAAAGTCTGGCTCTCCACAAGAGTGACCTCGGCCCAGAAGTTAGAGATGGACATGGCGATGGTTTTCCCGTTGAAGCCATCCGAGGGGTTCCCCATCAATCCAACCCTGTGAAGCATCATATGTTTTGAAATCTGTTCATATAGTGTCTTTCAGATTGTAGGGCTCTTGTTGTGAGGTAGGAGGAAGAGGGACAGTTTGAGTGCGTTGTGTTGAGGTTTTTCTTACCGGGCAAAGGATCTGTATGTGATTGGTTTAGCAGGGTTGTCTTGTTGCTTGGTGGAGTAGTGGGTGAGCCACTTGGTGTAGTCTGACAGGCCCTGAGATTTCAAGAGGATGAAAGAAAAGATGTTAGAACTACTAAAGGGCTTTGAATGTAATCAGAGGGATACTATATTAAATCAGAAGTAACATGCATGGCCACTCTTCTAGATTGAGAGCTACATTATATTCTCACACATGAATAAAGTGACCAAAACAACCTTTAATCACCTAAGAAACATTGACAATGTTTGGCTTTAAATATCCTGTTAAAGAGGCAAACAACTATGTTTAGACTCAAAATAAATCTCTCTTTATCATCACTAAGGATCAAAAGGACAGCCACTTAGTCACTTTAAGAATATAAAGAGACCCGTATGTGTTTTTGGGGGTTTTCCCTTTCCTGTAGTGTGTTAAATAGGTTTCAGTGTACAGTTGAGGCCTAAATTATTAGCGCCCCAGGAGTTATGGAACATTTTCCTAAAATTCTTCCCAATGTTTCCAGCATTGATACAACTTGATATAATCAAACATTCACTAGTGCTATTTAATAGCTTTTGGTACATTTTGGAAAATAAAATAAGTTTTTAGGCTTGCTTTATATCAAATATAGTGAAAAATGGGTTGGTCAAAAATATTAGCCCCCAGGCCATTAATAGTCAATAGTGTACCCTTTCTGAGCCACAACTGAGAACAACCTCTTACGGCCCGTGCACACGGCGGCGTGCGTTGAAGCTTGCTGGCGGGGGGGGCGCTGAAACTCGACCAACAACCAATCACATGAATCTCCCGCCCCGGACACACAAGCACGCGGTTTGATTGGCTAGAGCTTGTACTGGCATATGATTCGATTGGCTGACGCTTCCGCCGAAGCTTCAAAAGTTGAACATTGCTCAACTTTTGCAGCGAGCAACGCTTCTGAAGCTACGCTTCGCTCCCACAATGCAGTTCGGCGAAACGTGACGTCACCCCATTCAAAGTGAATGGGCAGAAGCGTTGAAGCTTCAACGCACGCCGCCGTGTGGACGGGCCGTTAGAGTAGTTCTTTACTAGGTTGGCACAGGTCTCTTGAGGGATTTTGGCCCATTCTTCCATTGCAAATTGTTCCAGCTGGTCCAAATTGCGTGGTTTCCGAGCATGGACATTCACTTTGAGCACCCGCCACAGATTCTCAATAGGATTAAGATCTGGGCTATGTGCGGGCCACTCCAGCACCTTGGTTTTGGTGTCCTTTAGGAACTGTTGGACCAATTTTGATGTGTGCTTTGGGTCATTGTCTTGTTGGAAGACCCAGCGACGACCTAAGCGAAGACTAAGACCAGATTTTTTCATATTATCCCTCAAAATGTCAACATAATTTTAATTTTTCATGATGCCTTGCACCCGAACAAGGCTCCCTGTGCCTGAGGCTGCAAAACAGCCCCACAGCATGATGTGTTCTTAGGGTTGAAGGCCTCTCCCTTTCTTCGCCAAACATAAGCAACATCCATGTGCCCAAACAGTTCCAGTTTAGTCTCATCAGACCAAAGCACAGACTTACAAAACTCATCTTTACCTTTCAAATGTTCACGGGCAAACCTCAGTCTGGCTCTGATGTGCCACTCTTTTGAGTAATGGGGTTCTTCTGGGACGATGGCCCTGAAGCCCACCACGATAAAGAGCCCTCACAACTGTGTTCCTTGAAACATCAACTCCAGAAGAGGCCAGGTCAGCAACAATCATCTTGGCAGATGTCTGGGGATTCTTGCTGACATCTCTGACTATTTTCCTCTCCAGAGTTCTTGAAATCTTGCGCTTTCGACCACGCCTAGGTTTGTTTCTTACAAAATGTGTCTCCTTGTACTTCGCAATGATGCAACGTACAGCAGTTCTAGACATTGTGAAGCGCTTGGAAATAGCAGTATAGCCTTCCCCCTTATCATGAGCCTCCACTGTCTTCTTTCTGAGCTCAAGACTGATTTCCTTTGTCTTTGGCATGGTGAGTAGGAGTAGTAGTATAGTCCCTCTCAATAAGGTATTCAAGTGCCTGTTTCTTGGAGTCCTTTTATGCTGATTGAATGCTCAGGTGTGGCTTGAAAGCTGATTGGTTGATTAGGTGTGGTTTGAAAGCTGATTGATTGATTAGGTGTGTTTTGAAAAAAAATTCACATGGGGGCTAATATTTTTGACCAACCCATTCTTCACTATATTTGATATAAAGCAAGCCTAAAAACGCATTTTATTTTCCAAAATCTACTAAATAGCACTGGTGAATGTTTGATTATATAAAGTTTTATCAATGCTGGAAACATTGGGAAGAATTTTAGGAAAATGTTCCATAACTCCTGGGGGGCTAATAATTTAGGCCTCAACTGTATGTAAATGGTCTGCTAAGGCTACAATCCCACACTCCCCCCCCTGCCTGAAACTCCTCCATTGGACTTCATTGGACTCCTTTGTTTACTTCTGTAACAGAGCAGACTGGGCTCTGGTTTCAGACAGAGGGTGAAAAGAGGTGCTGCAGCACAGGCAGTATGAGAAAAATAAAGACCTTTTTGAACATTAAAGCCTGGAGACATGTCACAGTAGAGGCACACAATACAAATGTTAATTAACTCATGCTTTGTTCAAAATAGATTAGGTCATGACAATGTTCCTTTTCCTGGTCTTATGAAACGGTCAATGGAAAAATGTCAATAAACTGGTTCTGGAGTTTTTACCAGAAAAAGGAAAATAGGGTTTCTTTGCTAAGCTTCATTCAATTCCAGTTTTATTTTAATTGTATTATTGTTAAGGTGTATGTACTGTATATAAACATCTTAGTATTAAGATTGGTGTACTTTGTAGAACTTTGTACTTAGAACTTAGAACTTGACTTTATATAATCTGTAATGAGCTCTTAGATCTTCTACTGTTAATAATTATTATTACTGTTTTTAATTATAGGAATAACAAAAAATACTTTGCTTTTTTTTTTTAAACTATGCTCCAACATTTTTGAAAGACCCTACCAAGATCTATTACAGAAGTAAACCTTTTTCTAAAATGCCAGCTAAAAACCTTCAATTTCAATTTGGCCTATAATTAGTTTGCACAGGGAAGAGGTCTGAGTGGATGCCTGTTTTAAACACTGGTCTCTCAAAAGGGAGAGTCCTGTTGGCTGGCTGATGATGATGAACTGAGGTAGAATACAAACCACTTGTCCAATGAGCTGGAAGCCAGTAGGAAGCTTCATCCCAAACACATCCAGTTGCTTCTCATTGACGAGCCACTCCTGAAGAGACAGGAAACACACATTATTATTACTTTATTCATTCATGATAATGCACTTGTTTGTTTTGGAGTAAAGTGGGACTGATTACAATCTTAATGAGTCAAATTTTGATAACGAAAAGTTTAATCAAAATGAAAATCAAGGTCATACAGTAATTGTCCATAAACCTACTTTTTAAATCATGTGCAGATAGAATAATCACACAAGGGCAAAATTACAGTCAATTGACCCCATTATACATTTCTCGTAGAGCTCCACAAATATTGAGAATTTAATCGAAATCACATTATGGACTAGTGCAATATTCAAATTGTTTAAGCACAATATTGGTCAAAGGCTTAATATGTGTTCAAATATGATTTGAATATACAGTAAGTATTGTGGAGCTGCAGCGATATCCAAGCCTACAGATCTACACTCCTGACAAAACTTATCTGTCTGGTACAAATTATCTTTAAACAAAATAAATCACACTGTAATCATTTAATGTATTTTCAATGAAAATTCCAAAATGAATGTTTACTTAACAACATAGGCAATTAGTTAGTAGAGAAAAGTCCAGTTTAATGTTGTGAGGGGGCAACATTTACAGTTTCTAACTTGATCTGAGGTCACACTTCTTGAATTAGCACTTACGAACCCAGAATCGTCCGAAGGATGCCTGAGGCTGCAGGCGCAGGAAGTCGGACAGGTGGGACAGTGTGTCTCTCTGGAGACAGTAAAACACAACGCTGGCCAGCCGGGACGCTGTGAGCCCATCCTGAGGTTTCTCCAAGAAGCGTGTTACCCTGATTCAGAACACTACAATAGATTAAAATCTAATCTGCAAAATAATGAAAATGCCACACACAAAGTACTTTTGTAAAAAGGTCAAACATGAGACATTTCTGCATTTAAATGTCTTTGAAATAGTTTTCCTGTTAAATGTATTTGATGGTGTCTGTATTCCATTTAGCACACATAAGTGTAAGTCTGCTATTAGGCAAGCTGTATTTAATTGACTTTTTATGCAGTTCACAGCTACATTGTTACGATACATTTTTAGATCTTGGTCGTGTTCGTAACCCATATTTTTAATCTAGAATAAGAATTTTCGGCATTGGAGGCCTGGATCTTAAATTATTATGTTAGCAAACATTAGCTGTAGCTCAGATCGCACTCGCTCTGATAAGTTATTTTCCCCCGCATTGAAGAAACACAGGTTTAATTGGTTATATTGGTTTTCATTTGTTTGTTTTGGCTTGGATAATTCCTCTGTGGATAACTTGGCTTCCAGTAAAACCTATTGACCGATGAACACTAAATCCTCATCGCTAAGTAGAAGAAGCATTCGTGGTAAAGGCAGCACCTCCCCTAGTGGCAGAAAATAACATACTGTGCATTTGTTGCTGCTGTTACAGCATGTGGTGCATTTTAGAGAAGTGTAGAATGAGTCCTAAAACTCTAAAATGAATTAGCATTTTACAACATCCGAATTCGTCGTCACGAGGTCAACGTTTTTTTTAATGTGATTGTGGTCAGAAGCCTGGAATAAGGTATTTGGTTAAAACAAGCTGAAGAGATTTTGAAGTTTGGTTCTTTGAAATTAAATAGTCCGTAATTACACCACTGAATTTCTGAAGCTTCTATGTGTCATAAAACGGCAGTTGCTAAATAACTAATTAAACTACTAAATGTCCTCAAACCACAAAGGATATTTTCTGCAATATTCCGAAATCCAACGGGGAAATCTCTCTGATATTTGACGAGGGAGACCTTGCGATGCTTCAAAAATACATCACTTCTCCATTTTATTAAACTATAGGTAAATAATGTCTCACCTGTGGGTGTCGGGGCAAACCTCCACTATGCCTCTGGAGCTGCTTTTCTCACTTTCCTCCAACTCGTAGTATATGATTAACTCTCCAGGCTGCAACACACACAAAGGGAAGGGCTGCTCATGACTTAAAAAAATCAATTTTACCTTGATAAAAACCCTTAACACACACTCGGTTGTATGCTTTTATGTCCACTTAATAGATGAAATCGTATTGTGGCGAATCACCTCTGACCTGAAGAAGCGGATCACTTGAGCAATGTCAAAGTTCTGGTCTGCACACAGCATGTCTCCTGCAATCTGATCACGCAAAGAGAAAACCGTCACTGAAAGACATCCATTCATTCAATTATAATAGCATACACCCTGTCAACACAATGAAATCAAACTAGGCAGCAGGGTTGGGTAACAACAGATGAATGTGTAATCAGAATAACATGGTCAGATAACAAAAAACCCAGTATCTACTAGCTGATTACATTTTAAAAGGTTGCAATAAGAGTAACAGCTACCTCTGTAATTTGTATTTAGTTTTTGTGTTTTATTTATTGTGTTATTAATAACGTGTGCATATGTAGCAATTTTTTGTAATTTTTATCCTCATTTTACCTGCACTATCCTCTGTTGTAATCATGTTAATTTCCCCATTGCAGGACAAATAAAGTTTGAGGCAGGGGGGCGGGTGTGTTGGAGAGAAACGATAGTTACGTCTGTAACTACGGTTCTATGAGTCCCTACTGACCGCCAGAGGCGGTGCTTTAGCACTGGATATGTCCATAGCGCGCATGCGCAGCTCGAGTACCAATAACAACAAAGTCACCTGTGACCCACGTGACACCGGCGACCCACGTGACACCGGCTATATCTGCCGATGTCGTCAGAGGATCTGTTCCTAGAATCTTCTCGCGAGCACACAAGAATTCTGAGTGACAGGATACTCTGGCGGTCATCCGGGACTCATAGAACCGTAGTTACAGACGTAACTATCGTTCTATTTCGTCCCTACTGACCGCCAGAGGCACTGGATGACTTATACCAACCATGTCATGAAGAATCCAAGCCCTTGCTCACTACTGGAAGCAGCGGAGCTCGGCAAAAGGACCACGCCCAAAGGATGGGGAGTGGCGACATTAACCCGATAAAACCTGGAGAATGTGCCAGAAGACGCCCACAACGCCACGGCGCAGGTGGTCTCCAGGGGCACCTCTCTCAGGGCAGCCCAAGATGTTGAGATGCTCCTTGTAGAGTGGCATCTCAGCCCTGATGGCAGGGGGCGGCCACTGGCCCCATAGGCATGTGGAATGGTATCGACAACCCAATGGGGCAGCCGCTGTTTAGAGGGCACAACCTCTTTTAGTGCCGGGAGCGGGAGCGAGACCACTGCCTTCACCAGCTGAGTTAAATAATGAAGCTTAGCAGAACATGCAAGATGTTAGCCAAGTGGCTGCTGCTAACATTCAAAGCAATACGTTACCGGGAGCGGGAGCGAGAGCACTGCCTTCACCAGCTGAGTTAAATAATGAAGCTTAAAAGTATATGCAAGGTGTTAGCCAAGCGGCTGCTGCTAACAATCAAGCAAGTCCAAGTCAAATAACACAAATGTTAAGCCCAGATAATTAGCTTCTAAAGAAGAGAACAGCACGGCATAGAACCGTATTTACAGTAGTAACCATGGCCAGTGCTTACACGGCATAGAACCGTAGTTACAGTAGTAACCGTGGCCAGTGCCTACACGGCATAGAACCATAGTTACAGTAGTAACCATGGCCAGTGCTTAAAAGTGTCAGCCAAACGGCTGCACACTAGCAATAATATAATATTGGGAGGGATGAAACCCTCTTTACTGGCCACACATGCAGAGCACACAGCACACACAGTGAAGATTGTTCTCTGCATCTAACCCATCCTAGTGCTAGGAGTCTAGTACTAGGAGCAGTAAATACGATATAGTTAGGCTGAGCCACGCTACTGCTAACTAAATAAAACGAGAAACGCAGCTAAAGCTGGAAACTCAAAATGCCAATGATAGCTCGGGCACAACGCCACAAGCAGAAAGTACAAAAGAGCACAATAAGGGCAACTTTATGGGAGAGGAAGCGGGAACACTGTCGTCACCAGAAAGTCTTAAGCCAAACAAAAAACAAGACAGCAATCAGGACAACTTAGCTGGGAGAGGGTGTAGGGACACAGCCATCACCAACAAAGTTGACACAAACCTGTCCGTCGCGAAGCTGCACGCGGCCAGCTGTATGCAGAGAAATCCCTCAGATCAAACGTTCAAACTGAACGCTGTAGGCTACAAGAATGTAGCCACGGTACTCTCGCGCAGCGAGAAGATGAAAGGAACAGATCCTCTGACGACATCGGCAGATATAGCCGGTGTCACGTGGGTCACAAGTGACTTTGTTGTTATTGGCACTCGAGCTGCACATGCGCGCGATGGACATATCCAGTGCTAAAGCACCGCCTCTGGCGGTCAGTAGGGACGAAATAGAACTCCCTCTGGATGGAACTTTGGGATTTCTGCCTTTGCAGACCATTTACATGCACTAAAACCTATAAACACGCTACAGGAAAAGGAAACGCACAAAGAGCATGATAGGGCCCTTTAATCTTTTTGAAATCCAATAGATTTTGTTACTTATACAAAAAAATGTAATGCGATTTGTGTGCAATAGCTGACTACATTTTATCAGTTATCTGATCCAACAGTGCTGAGCAGCTTTTTAAATAGAGATGCTCCAACACCAATAGTAGATGAATTCACCATACCACCATGATGTCGTCCTCCAGCTTTCGGCTGCGGATGACCAGCTCCAGATCAGCCACGGCTCCGAGGCGGTCCTCCAACGTCGTGCTGCCGTCATTCACAATGTTTTCAACCGGGAAGTCGTTAGCTGTGGCCCAGCGCTCATAGTACTTATACCTGGTTGGTGAAACACAATGAGAATGGAGCCACCAGAATATAAAACATTCACTTTGTAAATATCACTTTTTCAGAATTATGGGAATTGTAAATTAAAAAAGGCAAAAATATTTGTATCTCAAGTAGGGGTGTAACGGCCCGTCCACACAGCAGCGTTAAAAAAAATCTTGGAACGCTTCTGCCTATTCACTTTGAATGGGGTGACGTCACTTTGCCTCACTTTTCGCCGAACTGCATTGTGGGCAGCAGAGCGGAGATTTTCAGGATTTAAAGTTGAGCAATGTTCAACTTTTGAAACTGAGGTGGAAGCGTCAACCAATCAAATCCCGTGTATGCAAATCTGACAGTTCAAGCGCTAGCCAATCAAACCGCGTGTATGCTGGGAGAGACATACCACAGGTCATTTCCTCATATTCCAAAAAATGGAGGAGAAATTAGCGGTAGGGAATCACCCGGTGCTTTATGACCAGTCCCTATTTACCTACCGGGATACAAACCGGAGGAGTCAGGCATGGAGGGAGGTGGCAGAGACAGTGGTAGGTTTTCGCCTGTTTGGGGAGTTTATATCCAGTTTACTTCGGGCTTTTTTGCTTCGTATGTCGGGGGCGGGAGATTCATGTGATTGGTTGTTGGTGCCTTGCTTGCAAAAAATCCCCAAGCTTCAGATACGCCCACATCCAAGATTTTTTTAATGCTGCTGTGTGGACGGGCCGTAACGGTTCACAGAATTCACGGTTCGGTACGTACCTCGGTTTGGGGGTCACGGTTCGGTACGGGTTCGGTACAACAAGAAAAAACAAAAAAAAGTCCAAAATGCATAATTCCAGGTTTGTTGTTATTTATTTTTGAACAGTAGTGCAAGTTTCAGTATAAAAATAAGGAACTCTAACATTTTGAATAATTAACTGTATTACAGTTAGAAAACAAACCACAAACAGTACCACACACACTCAGATGGCCATATTATCTATACAAACAAAAACAAACAAAAAGGTTTCTTGAAAATATTACAAAATAAATAATAAGAAAGTGTTTCCAGTGCGCATTGCCGTTGAAATATATATGCCAATAGCTTCCGTTATTTATTTTGGTCTCTCAGCTTTCATGTCTATTGGCTTCTTAAAAACAGCGGGGATAAGCTTTTGAACTGCTGTTGTCTTTTGCCGGGCTCCGGTGATTGGCAAATATGGCTGATGCCTTCTGATATGATTTAGCATGTTTGGCGTGTGTTACCATTAGCATACTGCACCGCTATCGAACAACGCCAACACACCGTCCTCGTCCGATCCAAGCCCCCAGGAAGTGCACCGGACTCTGAGGAAAATATATTCGTTGTGGCCAAACGGCGGTACTACACTTCCGTATCAATCGCTGGGCCCGGAAATACTTTTTCCCATTGACTAATGGCGCATTTCCACTACACGGCCTCGCTCGGCCTCGCTCGGCCTCGTTAGGACTGGCTCACTTTATAGCGCATTTCCATTACAGTTTAGGAACTGGGGTAGTATCTATAGTAACGCAGTGTAGGCGGAGCCGCGACGTAATCTTCAATGAGAACCCCAGAAAAAAACAACACAGCCGTTAGCTGTTAGCACTCAGAGCTCCTCATATGTTCAGAAACTAGACAAAAGTTAAACAAGTACAAACCACAGACTGTCTGTGTCATGGCGAATACAGTCGCTGCTTTATTTATGTCTGTATAGGCCGTTGTTGTGAGTGTGGACGGTCGGAGCATATACTGCGTTAGCTTAGCCAATCTCCATTTAGAAAACACGCATTTTAAAAGGTTTTTTCGCCTGCCGTCTGTCTGCAGACTTGTCAAAGCATTAATTCATGGTTTTTACTAACCGGTATCAGTATGTTGTTACTTCGGCATCATTTTGAAACGTGTATTACAATTAAATCACGGTCAAATATGTCCATCTTGTTGTAGTTGTAGCCCCCTTGCCAGCGATTCTCTCTCTAGTTTAGCATACTCAGCCCGACTCAGCCTCGTTGTCTCTGGCCCTACACCCACGATTTTATGAGGCCAGAAAAACTGTGAATTAGGAACCGCCGGCCGGTACTAGGCCAAGTGGAAACGCAACCAAAAACGGGCCGCTGACGTCACAGCCCTCTTAAACCGTGCTCCGCGCTGTAGTGGAAACGCGCCATAACATTGGGAAAGAGACGTCTGTAAATCGTTGGATAATTTCTTTTAAACTAAATAAACTACCCAGTATGAACATTTGTATAGCCCTTATTAAAAACATTCGGTCCTCAAGTTGTAAAATGTGCTAATAACGTTATTCTGAGTTATTTTCCTCTGCATTATGAACGCGGATCTAGCCCACGGGACCGCGCCGCCCGTATTCGTCCCGAACCGTCACGGATACCGTTACACCCCTAATCTCAAGTGAATGCATTAGGCTTCCGTATTCCAAAATAGCACCAAATGGGTATATTTGAACTCACTTGTCCGCATTAGTCACCAAATACACTTCTGTGAAAAGCTGTCGCCTGGAGAGAGACCATAAGAAGTTAACCAGTCAATGTTTTCAAAATAAAGGAAAAACAGGAATTAGGAAGTATCATGTTGGGGCGACTTGCGCCTGTCACGCACATGTTGACGGTTTCCCACCAAAAGTCGAGGATCTTCCTTCCTCCCACGCCAGGAAGTAAAGCCTTTGGTACTCCAGTCAGGTGGCTGTATAAGCCTGTTTCATCATTCTGGGAGAGGAGAGATGGAAAAAACAGGTGAACTCAAATACAGGTTACTCAACTACCTATACTATGATGACAGTATATAGAAGGAATGTACACATGCTCGTCTAGAACAGAACAGAACAGAAGGAGTTAGTATGTGGGAGAGAAACTCCCTCAAGAGGGAACTTTGGGATTTTAATGTTTGCAAACCATTTACATGCACAGAAACACATACTATATCACACTATAGGAAAACAAAAATCACAATAGAGCTTTTTTAAAGAAAATAAAAAAGTAAAAGTATTGCTAATACACTGGCTGTGTACATGTATAATGTTCTATCATTTATTAGTTAATTCATGTGTAGCCTACTGAGAATGATTATCTGCAAACTAACTTATTTAAAACATAATCATTTTTGTAGCGTAACAATTCAATTAAGCAGTGCAAGTACTTACTTAAAGGGGACCTATCATGCAAAATGCACTTTTGCACGTCTTTTATACATGACTATGTGTCCCCGGTGTTCCAGGGAACTCACCAAGTGTCAGAAAACACAACCCTCTCTATTTTCCTCCATACCCAAATCTCTAAAAAGGGGGTGGTGCAACGGATCTGATAAAAACTGATCCAGATTTGAACACTGTCCTGACGTCAGGACAGTGGCGCTACGGCTATTGGGCCAACTCCACTAATCAGGAGGAGACAGCCAGGGCCATTGCCGTTCGAAAGCGCTGGAGACGCTGTAGTACATATGCCAGGCTTGTAGATGGTGCTGTTCTCACCAGGGGCGTCGCCTGGACCTGAAAACATTCGGGGGCTTAGCCCAGTGGTGGCGGCCCGCGGCGCTACAGTGGAATTTTTTACTGCAACATTCCCCACACGCACACAACACAGTACACCTGCGACTGTTACAATGAAGGCTCGATAATCAGCTCACAGCATATAGACAGGGGTAAAGTGCTATTTTTTGGGGGGGGCGGACCTCACCTCCTCTAGGGGGTCCGGGGGGATGCTCCCCCGGGAAGATTTTTTTTTTAAATATTGAAGTTAAAAGCATCAATCTGGTGCACTTTGAGAGCAAAATTAAGAGATCTATGGACACCTCTCAACACCCATATGAAACAGAACTGTAAACAGATTTACTTTTTCTTTATGGATATTTTACAAATCACTCCCCTTTTAAACTGCCATATAGTATTTCATAACTGTTTTTTCCTTTATTCTCTTATTTTTTTTTATAACTATAATGATCATATGAAGGTGTGCCGCGGAATAATCTTTTGAATAATTTGTGACCAAACCGTTTTGAGACCCCACTGAGATAACTTAGACTAAAGTTAACTATCTAAACACTTAGAGAGTCCTTTAGCTCACCTGAGTCTCTCAGTCTGACAGGACAGGACTCTCCTCCAGCAGCTTGTTGTGGAACAAACAACTCCTTATGTCTGTTAGCGCAGCTAGCTAACCAGATGCTAACAACACGGTCCCTGCTGTTCTTATTATACATCCATGGCTGGCACCGGTCCCTCTTTCTCCCTCTCTCCCTCTCTCCCTGTCTCCCTCTCTCTCTATCACACTAAATGCGCTATTACCACACACACACAGAGCTGAGCTGACACAAGCACACGTTTATTTCCATGCAACTCTCTGATTGGTCTGGTGTCATGCCTCTGTTTGCATTCACTGAACACGGGAAATTACAGTCCTTACGTCCTCTCTTATGTCATGATGAGGTTCACGTAAAGCACGGTTAATGTATTATATTATTGGAGGGAGAATTGTCCGGGGCTAAAGAAAAAACATTCGGGGCTAAAGCCCCCGAATGCCCAGGCCAGGCGACGCCCACTGGTTTCTCACAGAATCAGCCCTTGCAAAAACAGAGCTAACATTTTTCAAATTGAGCGAAATGAGGCATGGCTAAAATGCATGATCTGTTTGGTATTTTGAAGAAAAAAAAAGTATAAATATGCCTTATATACTGTAGGTATGGTCCTACACTATAATAACTAGTAATAACAGTCCGCTGCAGTACAGTATGTGTTATTAAGGTAAACTTTGGATTCCCTAGCTCATGTATGCGTTTTACATAATGTACAATTTTATATTTAAAACAAAAAAAGGATAAGTGTTCACGTGGGGTTGTATGATACGTATAGGTGAATATTAAATAACGTCAACTCAAACACAGGTGTCCCTAAACACAACACGTCCCCCTCTGATAATAATAACGTTATTTTGGGGAACATCATGTGCCAACCTTATGAAGTTAGCTCCATAATTGTGTCTTTCTTCCTCGGTGAATGTAATTGTTAAAAAAATAATTCGGCAGGTATATAACGTATACGAGTCAAGGTTTTTCACAAAACTTTAATTTCATTCCACCACAATGATAGATGGATAGACGGCGTCCCAGAGCCAATGACAAAAATGTCATTTTTTAAAGATTATCAGAAATATTGTTCGGTCAGATGTGCGCCGAATGTAACTTAACATCCCTGTGATTCTGTGCATGAGGTGGTGGTCTAACAGGTAAACAGACCAGCCGACTTGTAAATAAGTGGTAAAAAGGGGGATTCTTTAAGGTAGTTCTTTGTACCGTTATTGCTACATACCGAATCCGAACTTTGCACTCCTTCAGCTTATCTCCTTTCTGCTGCAACATTCAAGCTACTCACCTTAATTTGAGCCTCTAAGACGGTGCCGTGGCCCGCTACCAGCAGTATACAGATCATTGGTGAAACTTCACTGTGTCGTTATGTTGCTTTTAAGTCAATAAGAATAGAGTCCAGTGGTTGAAAATATCTTCGGTATCTCCAACAGCTTAATTTCGCAGCGTCAGTGAAGTAACGCACTTCCGCAAAGATCCTTCAAAATAAAACACCCATGACTTTTTTAGTAGTTCTTCTTGGTAGAGCAATACATACAAAAACAGCGTATACACAGTGGTGGAAGAAGTAATCTGATGTTTTACTTAAGTTAAATTAGCAATAATAAATTGTAAAAATATTCTGTTACAGGAAAAGTCCTGCATTCAAAATGTTACTTCAGTAAATAGTACAAAAGTATTGTGATCAAATTATACTGAAAGTACCAAAAGTACTTCAAACTTTTGATACACAAATTATTGATGTATTGATTTTACTTTTTTGTATCTGAAACAGTAAGTCCACTAGTTGAATGTTTAGAGATCGCATTATGTCAAAAGTTAATTTAGTGCACATTTTTCAGCTAAAAAGTCACTAAAGCTGTTTAATAAATGTACTAGAGTAATTAATTACTCAAGAAAAGTACAAGTACTTCCTAATTTTACTTGAGTACATGTACTTAGTCCACAATATACAATGTATACTCATAAGTCATGACTATGATACAAGGAAATAAAACAGGTTGTCATATTATAACCAATTTACCGCCTTTAATAAACAGTGGCTTATGTACGTACAGTATATTATTTGCTTTTTCCTTTATTATAAAGACATACATAGCCTACCTACAATGAAAAGCTAACCAACCTCTGTTACTTTATTAGGTTAAATGGTAGCAATTAAATTATTGTCCCCAGTAAGGTTTTATGAAACGTACAAAAATACAAAGCAAAGAGCTGAACTATGAAGTTGGTATCATCTGGTCTTAGTGATATTGATTAGATCAAAACAAGTCAAAGCATGGATACAATGAGACATTAACATGAGTGCATTTGATGCAGAGAAGCACGGTACTGCAGAGGTTAAAAAAAGTGACATGAGTAGCTGGTCATGTTTTGGAGCTTACTGTACTGGAGGTTAATGAACAATCATAATGTTTGTGGAGGAAGGCATTCTACAAGGGCTTTGTTTGACTGATGACTTTCAATGACATTCTTTACATTTCAATGTTGTAAAAAGCTTTGACGATAATATTCAAAGATTTCATTATGCAAAGATGCTGGATTGGAATACCAATGACCATATTCAATTGTTTTCATGCACTCTCGATCACAAATAAAGTATCTCAAAGCATTTCAAGTACTCTTTTGGCCCATACGCGGTTGTCTTCAAATACCCCGGGGCATCAGGGTTCTCACTGGGGGTCTGTGCTGGATGATCCCACAATGCCGTGCTGTCGTAGGAGGTTCCTCAGGATCTGATTCTTGGATTTCCAGTCCTCCACCTAAGCAACAGCAACAAAGATAGTTAAGAAGTTAGTAATACTGCCTCATCAGCTGACTCTTGACCTTCTTTCATGCAACAACTGTGACTAACTCAAGTCATGTTGAAGTCTGGACAAAGGAGCATTAAGTGTTTCATTAGAATGTAGGTATCCACTACATGCTTTAGAAGTCATATTCTGGCTTTAAGTAGACAAATCCTGATTATAAGTTAAACCAATCACCAGTGCCACATTTGCATCTAAAATACGACGCAAACACACTTATTAACCAATTTTGTCAAGACATATGTCAAGTATGTATTGTAGTACTTGTAATATGTTGAAAATATATTATTCTATTCCCTTAAAAAAAGATTCTGATCAATAACTACAAGATGTAACAGATGGCTAGATGTTTTTTTTAACCTGCAAGCCATTGTATCAACTCTTAAACTAGACTGTTCTACACAACCAACAGCAGGGTTTACTCATCATCGATTATGCAACTGTTTTGATCGTTTTTTAATCGTGCAAGTACATTTTCAAGCTATTGGAAACATTTGATTTGAATTGATTGCTGGGCATTTAGCATTTGTTTCCTGCCTAAATTTCTACTTTTAGATATAGCGTTTTCCCCATTTCTGTTATTATGTATTTCAACCAGATGAAAATACATAATAACAGCATTATGGATCACATTATAACATTTAGTAAGCATGTAATCCTAGTACAGTGGTTTTGCTTTAGACTTTGGAGGTTGGAAAAAACTTGTTTTCTCACAAGACCTGGGTCATAACAAATTTCACACAACAGCTTAAGGAGAAATGAGTCCTACATTGACACAGATGCCCCTTTCACACCGGCGCTTTTCCAGCTCCTGCTCGGAGCTGGAGCTGGAAAAGCGCCGGTTTTTTCCTGTTCACACCGCAGCGGCGGCGCATCATAGCTCCAGAATGCGGTTCACTTCCAGCTCCAAAAAATTGTCGGTCCAGAGGCAAGAGCTTCGGAGCTATGACGCGGCGTCGCTTACGTCTCTTACGTCTCTTACGTCGAGGCGTGCAGGAAACCTTACTTTGACCATCCGTTCGCTGTTATTGATCATTGTGGAGATACATGGGCTGTACAGGTTGTCATGTCCGACTATCACAAGTAGAATCATAATGAAAAATACGCCGGTAAAATGTGCCTGTAGAAAACGGCTTAGCAAGTAGTCAGTTTAGCTTCGGTTGCTATGCTAACATCACCCATGTTCTACCAGAGAAACTTTCATAACAGCGTTGTGATGCCAAACAGCGTCAATTCAGACTGACACACATTCACTTAAGGGGAACTGGGGATATGTATCAGCTGCTTGTGTGACAGTCAGACAGTGAATACTTTAGAGCCGTGTGAGCTAACCCGGAGCTAACGGGAGAATAAACTCCCGTGGAAGTGCAGCCAGCACTGCAGCGGTCGGTAAATGCCGCTGAAACACATTAATAAACAATGAACCACGGCACTCTGGAGAAAAGTATAAGGTTGGAGAAGTCGTTATTTAATTTGATCTGGCTTCGTATGATTAAAAGCAACACGATCATCGACCCGACGCAGTCCCCGGCCCGTTGTTGTTGTGGGAGAAAATCAGCGACGTAAACTGTGACGTCATGACGCAGCAGCGGCAGCTCTGGGCAGTGTGAACAGAGCGGGAGCTGAAAAGGGAAACCGGAGCTGAACCAGAAAAGCTCTCGCTAGGAGCTAGAAAGGGAAAAGCGCTGGTGTGAAAGCCGCAAGAGTGCCTAACTGTGCTTGTGGGTGGTTGCTAAACCAAACATTCCCTTTTCAGTTGTCAGTGTACACATGTTCAATTTATGAGTAGAACACATAAATCAGCAGGCGGATTTGTCTGTAAGTTATGTTCAATTTAAGACTTTTTTAGAGTAGCTATAAACCTGGAAATATGTCAGCATTTCACCACTTCCGGTTCCCTTGTCTCAAAGTCATCCATTTTTTGAACATGTTGTTGGTTAGATGCCCGAAATAGAGTCAGTGGTTGACAAACTGGAGAGATTTGCCTGTTTTGATCTACGACGTAAAATACATCAGTAAATACCCCAATCGTGAATGTCTGAAGCTTCTATGTGTCATTAACACTAGAACCGCCAGAGGTCGCTGTATACCTAAAACCGCCAAATTTACCCGCTATTGATTTTCAAGGTACAATGTTCTTTTATTTATCATGTAGAACAGTGAGTTTTGATCGCACAGGGATGAAACTTATACCAATAGAATCTGTGGACTCTCAGCTTTTCATATGATATAGTTTGTATATCGCTAACAGTGCTGATTTAAACGCTTGGTGTTAGACTTGTGTTTTTGTTTAGGTACAAATCTCTCTATCTCTCTCTATCTATAACTATCTATCTGTCTATCTGTCTATCTCTCTATCTCTATCTCTCTATCTATCTATCTCTCTCTCAATCTATCTCTCTATCTATAAGGAACCGTAGTAGACAAAAGGCGTTGCTATAGCAACACGTCATGTTTACGCTGCATTTTCTATGAGGTAAATATTACTCGCAGGCGGATATAGGTATAAATGGCAATTTTTTTGGCCATTATTTAAATCTGACTTCATATTGACAATGTTTAACAACAGAGGGTGCTACATAACACAATTTCAGGAAAAGTCACGGACTGGGAGACATTAATATTTTATTGAAAAAAAAGTTACATACAATCAAAAAAACAGCTGCGGGTAAAATTGACCCGTTGGCGGTTCTAGTGTTAAAACAGCGGCTGCAAACAAGTGACTAAATGAGAATACTAAATGTCACCACAACGAACATTAGCCACCTTTAGCTTAGCAGTCGTGATGCACAGCCATGCAACTGTGATGTAGTTTACATTTACGCCTCAAGAAGGTGGTGTTAATATGTGGAGAATCTAATGCTTAATAAAATGTGTTATAAGAGTACGTTTGCCACAGATCTCATTCTTTGCAATATTCCTAATCCAATGGAAGAATCTCATTCAGTGTTTCCCCTATATACAAATAGTGGCGGCGCAGCGCCGCTGCTAAAATATGCGCGCCGCTGCTAGGGGGCACCAGCCAGGTACCCAAAAAAAATATATATATATATTTTTTTTTTACTTTTTTTTTTTTTAAATAAAATAATAAGTGGCGACCCTTTTTCATTTTTGATTGTTTCTTATGTGGATTTGTAGTATTTGTGTTACTGTATGTTCAATAAAGGTGTATTTTTGCTAAATCTTGAGACATTGCCACTGTATGAACTAGGCAGGGCACATTTTTGGCATAGGGCGCCAGATCTGGGGGGCGCTGTGCTGGTAGCTCTGGGAGGGGAAACATTTTTTTTGACCGTTGGCGCTCATCCTAATTTTCGGCCTTGATGTAACAACATTCATAATTAAGTAAATTTCACCCCGGTTACACTTTTCATTTGCCTGTACGATGGGCGCTGTAAGTGATGAAAGTGGGGGATGTTGGCTTATCAGGCGCCCGCAGCTCACAGCCAAAGTGCGAGCGTGGGAGCGAGCGAGGGAGAGAGAGAGGAGTAATTTTAGTCTAAGTCATCTCAGTGGGTCTCAAACGTTTTGACCACAAATTATGTAAACACATATTTCCAAGGCACTCCTTTATAATTATTAGGATAAATAAAAACAGGTTTGAAATCATTCCAATGTATACTATAGGACA